ATGTTTATAGTAATCAAATCAGTGGAAACTTTGTACTGTCTACTATTATGAAAAAAATATTAGAAATCCGAAATATTTATTTTTCATATTATTAATAATAAAAAATAACCTTTTTGAACTTTTGCATTTTTACTGTATATCCCATAGGGGTAGAATATATGGCTACTCATGGAGAGAGGGGGAAGGGGGGGGAGTATGTGTGGCTCATGAAAAATTTACAAGTAATGCATATAAGTATAAATAAATAAGACACAATAATTTATAAAATGTGTTTATAAGGTTTTATTAAGAAATAAGAATGATAAACATGTATAATATGAAATAATAAATAATTATTCTTCCTACTAAATAATCAATCTTCCTATATATATATTACAAGTATTATGACATGAGGTACATATTTTATATAATGCGTTTATTGCATTTAGTGCACTGAATTTAATCTGTGCATTTTGTATGGGCATTGTTTTGGGCATAAATCCTGCTCGCTAAAAAGTGCTATATATTCCAAACAGGTGGGATATACAAGACAACGAACTAAATAAAGAATACGAAAGCAAAGCACTTATATTTTACTACATAATAGGTTTTACTATTCCATTACACGTATGTATCATGAAATAACCATTAAGTCTTTTATACGTCCTGCAGTAATCATTTTATGTATAATAATTTAGATTATAATTTATGATGGCGTTACTTATTACAGAGACAAATCAATTAAATTCACAATAATTTCATTAATGTTAACAACAAGAAGTTGAAATCATAATACTAATATCACAATACTAATATAATCTAAAGGTAACAGAGTAACAGAGTAGTTGTGAGAAAATTACCCTCACTCCTTCTATTTTTTCTGACTTCTGCGGCGTAAATTACAGCGCGGCGTATTTGCCAGAGTTACCCTATATAAGGTGTACTATTTTAATCAATCATTTCAAATATCTCTTGAACAGTGCATTTTAGGACAAAATGTTTCAGGTAAAAGTTTTGGAAATTCGAGGAGGACATAAGATAATACTATTGATTTGATTTTTGATAGCGTTGTCAAGATGAAGGCAAGATCACTTTGAATTTTTTAAATGAAACTCTCATTTTTCATTACATATTCTTATAGTTTACCTTGAGAGTTTTTCAAAATTCACTATAATTAAGTTTATTTTCATTAAGTAAGGGAGACCGGGGCTAATAGACTCATTTTTCAGTTTCGAATTTTTACTTGACTGTTGTTCAGGATCATGTCCTAGATAACATTTGTCAACATCAAGGTCATTGGAAATTGTTCCTCTTATTTTCATTTTTGCATTAAAAATTCACTTTTACGTAAAAATGAAAATATGAGATACAACTAATCTCCAATGGCCTTGATCTTGACAAATGTTATCCACAAATGTGTTAGGTCGTGATCCTAAACAATATTTAAGAGGTTTTAGTCGTCGGTCAGATACTTTGGATAATGCTAATGGTAATGCCGACGGTACTTTCAAACCTTATGACTCGCAAAATACTTAATAAAAAAATATTTTATTATAGTATTTTATTATAGTGTTTCGAAAAGCTCTCGAGGCTACTAGAATATGTAATGAAAAATGGGGGATTCCGTTTAAAAAATTCAAAGTGATCTTGTCCTGATCTTTATGACGTCACCTAAGGCCAAATCAATGGCACCGTCTTATATCCCCCTCGAAATTCCAAAACTTTTGTCTAAAATATTTTTCCCTAAAATGCACTGTTCAAGAGATATTTGAGATAATCAATTAAAGTGGGACGTTCTGTGTATATATACATACATACATACATACATACATACATACATACATACATATATATATATATATATGTAGTGCGCGCGCGCGCGCGCATGTGTGTGTGTGTGTGTGTGTGTGTGTAGAGAGAGAGAGAGCTTCTTTGCGAATATTAAACAAATAAAATACTATAACAATAATTTTTCAAAAAATTAAGTAAAAAAATTATTCATAAATTTTTAAGCAATTTAAATTTTTAAGTTATAAGAGTTTTAATTGCCCATATTTTTCACTTGTATATAATATCGATATTTGCATTATCGGTATAGAATAATATTGTATTTCATTGTTCAATTTTAAAGTAAACGTTGTAAAATTACAACATCGTTCCTTTATTCAGAACGTTCATAAGTTATACATTCGGAAAGCTAAATAATCGAGCGCTGTTATTAGCTGATTATCACCTATAATTAATTAATCAACCGGATTTAATTAATTAATTACACTTATCCGGTTGATTAATTAATTAAAGGCAGAGGCGTGCACGTCCGTGGAAATGGCGATGCGAAAGTGTCCGAACGGAATGTTGTCGGAGGTCAAGTACGACGGCGAGCGTGTGCAGGTGCACAAAAGCGGAAACGACTTTCGATACTTCAGCAGATCTCTCAAGCCAGTCCTGCCGCACAAGGTAGAGATAATTTATAGAAACATGTAAACAATTTGAAAAAAAATATAATATCGCTTTATAATTTAAAAGTTTCACATTATAGAAACAGGAAAAATCATACTAACGTAGGAAAAAATGTGATGATTGTTATTACGAAATTTAACGATCAAGATACGAAATTAAAAGCGTGTTTCCGATTTTTTGTATTTGAATTTTCTGAACGGCGATCGATTGAGTATTCTATTTTTTTAGGTGAATCTCTTCAAAGATTATATAGCGCAGGCGTTTCCTGATGGTGACGATTTAATTCTCGATTCCGAAGTTCTCATGGTCGACAATGAGACTGGACAACCTTTGCCTTTCGGCACCTTAGGAATTCACAAAGTAAGAGCGATGAATCTCGTCACAAATCTTTTCATTTCATTTCTCTGAAAACTTTCGAAAATTTAAATACGATAGAGAGCGCCAATGAGTGATTAAAGTTAGATTTTGAATAATACAATATTCTTGGTTTTTAATTTTAAGATATGATATTTCGAAAATTTTCTTTTGCAACATTTTTGCGTTTGTTTTTATCGTAATTTTACGATTGATGAGTTTGTGATTATATTACGTATAGCAATATTCTATAATAATACTTTAAATCATATCTAATAATAAGAGTGTGTTTTAATACATTATCAAATTTGTTTTCAGAAAGCCGAATTCAAAAACGCCAATGTATGCCTTTTTGTCTTCGACTGTTTGTATTACAATGGCGAAATACTTATAGACAAGTAAATATCGAAAAAATTTTCATATACAATAATATCTTATAATAATTACATACTAGTTTACTTTTTTTATTATTTTAAATCAGACAAGATGATTCTTATTGATTTTTGATATTGAAGCTGAAAAAGATATCGTGAATCATATTTTATCAGTACATCAAGTTTCCGAAATAATTGAGATTAGGTTTAATGCGTTAAAAATAATATTTTTATGATATTAAAAATTTTTTTAATAAGAAAGAAAATTAACATTATATTGAAATTTTGATCATAAGCTACCTGGTATAAATGTATTGTTAAAGAATTTCTTAATATTTAACAATTTAAAGACTAAAAAGTAAAGGGAAGTAGGAATCAGTTTGGTCCGCAACATGTAACAATGGAAATGCTTAAAAGTCCATTTTTAATATAAAGGTATATAAAATCTGTACGCGTTTCGACTTACTTCAAGTCATTCTTAATTAATGGAATTAATATAATTCTCTTCTGTATAAATAGTGCGTCAACCATGGTGTCAAATCCAATATCTCAAAGAAGTTCCTTAGCTTCATCCCAGTTTACTGGTCAGAAAGAAACAAATAATTCTTATGAAGTAATTATAATAAGAATGAGAATGTCAAAGATATATATATGTGAAATTATTTTTTTAAAAAGAAACAAGGAGAAAGTAGATTGGCGTTCACCGATTTGATGCAACTTGCACATACATATACAGTAGTATACAGTACAACCAATTGATATAATACTTATTTGAATAATAGATAAAGTAAGATGAATAATAGATAAAGTAACAAGAGTGATCCAAATAAATTTTTTCGATATAGATCAAAATGAAAAAGAATAGAACAAAATGAAAAAATAACAATTGTTCAGTTACACAAAAACAAGTGTCACTATCGATACAAATATCGATCCAAAATAATCAAAAGCATAATTATAAAAAACATTAATTTTTAAATTGTATTCAGAATTGACTTATAGGCAGGTCTAAAAATTCAATATCTGTTTGGACTAGTTGGAGATTTAAACTCCATTTTTATGTTTTTATATGCATTTCAGACAATTGTTGTAATTCCTTTCTACATTCAAAATTTGCACTTTGTCCCAATCGAATTCGTGATTAAATTGTAACCTGTGGTTTGTATGATCGAATGGGAAAACGTTTTTCTTCTAATATGATTTAATTCAGAAATGCGTGTATGTAATTGACGACTTTGTCATACATAAGAAGCCTTACAATCTTCGCAGGCAATCTTATAGACAACGTTTCTCTGTGCACTGATTGGTAAAGGATTTTTCTGCACTTTGATTAGATTGCGAAATTTATTGATACTATAAAATGCAATTTTTATAGTATCAATAATTCTTTAAAAAAAAATGATTTCACATATATCTTTGACATTCTCATTCTTATTATAGCTTCACTTCATAAGAATTACTTGTTTCTTTCTGGCCAGTAAACTAAGATAAAGTTAAGAAATCTCTTTGATATATTGGATGGTTGACACCATGGTTGACGCACTATTTATACAGAATAGAATTATATTAATTCCATTAATTGAGAATGACTTGAAGTAAGTCGAATCGCGTACCGACATTACAACTTTATATTAAAAATTTAACTTTTAAGCATTTCCATTGTTATACTTGCACACCAAGTACCGCGCTGACTCCTATTTTCACTTACTTTCTAGTTTTTAAATTATAATTGTATTGTTTATTCCCTTCAAAATTCATTGTTTTAATTTTAATATTATATCATATTTTTTAGTCATCTTATGATTTACACACGTAAATTTTAATATGATGACATTTAGATTTTCTTTCAACATGTAAAAATCTATAAAAAATATCTTTCTTGGTTTGAAATAATGTGTTTGGCTGTAAATTATAATATTATTCTGACTTTACATGTTAAAGCTATTTTTTCTTTTTTCTTTTTCATCGCGTTAGATCTATGCTGGAGCGCAGGAACATTTTGAAGGACAGAATGACGGAGATACCGAATAGAATAACGTTGTCGGAGGTTCACGAAGTGCATGTAAAAAATAAAAATTTTATAAAGCACGTTAATTATTATTTACTTACAGCGGCATCGGATTACAATTCGCATCTGATTTTAGGATCCGCAAGATTTAGCGGGAAGGATTGTCCATGTATTGAAACTGGGTCTTGAAGGTTTGGTCCTGAAAGACATCGATGTGCGTATCGATCCTTGTAAACGCATTAATTTCCTACATTATTGTTATATTTTTTAATAATGTTATTGATATATAATTAATTAATATAATTAATCGAATAATCATTGCGCAATACAATTAAATATTTATTTGATTGTTTATACAAACATGTTTTCTTGCTTTATCTATTTGTGACTTTAGGACTTCCCGAAGTTCTAAAGTCGATAATTTATTTAAAGATAACGCTGTTCTTATAAAATTTATTTCGTGGGTCGCCAAGCATTTGGATTTCATACCATTTATTCGAAATCTCCGCAATTTTGCTCTTTTCAGAGCAAATACGAGCCGGGAAAGAGGCATTGGTTGAAGGTAAAAAAGGATTATCTGTGCGGTGGTGCGATGGCTGATAGCGCAGATCTCGTCGTGCTTGGTGCATGGTACGGCACAGGCAACAAAGGTTCGTATGAGCTACGACGCAGTGCGAAAGATAATATCGTAAAGTAAAAATATATATCGTAAAGTAAAAATATAAATCGAGTGTAATTGTGGGATAAATTTTATTAAATAATCACAATTGTTTAAATTCCGATTCGAACGATCCTTGTTGGCTGTGTTCAACAGAGAAAGCAATTTTGCAATTGTAGAATTTTTATTTAATATAATTGATTTATATATTTAGATTTAGTGAAGAGAGTGCAAGATCAATCATATTAAAAAATTTTGCAAAACTACTTTCTCCGGTTAATGCAGCCATTGTTTCGTAATGACAACTAAAAATAGTCACTATTATGACTTCGTTGTGCAGCTTTTAATGCTTCTGAGTAGTCGCAGCGACTATGTTGGAATCATGATGTCAAAAGCGAAGAATGACACGTAAATTTATGCTGCAAGCCATTTAAATAAAGACTATTTGGACAATTGCTTTAAAATACCTGTAAAAATGAGCAGAAACTGTCCTTTTCTTCCTTAAGTCAATAGTCATAAAAGGCAGATAAAGTGAGCTTAATTTCGGGCAGAAACATACGGTTTAAACAGTTGTTGAAATGAATGAAATACGCTTTTGCATATAAAATTTCAGGATAACTGTAGTTTCTGCCTCATTTTTAGGACTTTTATAAGTACGAGACACATTACATTTTCAATTAAGCAAATAATAATGAAATGGCACGCAGACAAATTTCGTTGTCAAACATCACTTTTCCATGCCTATAAATTCAGCCATTTATGGTGACGAGGCACTGAAATATACATACAAGCACTAGTCCATGTGCTCGCTTTCAGCGCGCTGAGAGCACGTGTACAATGAATTTGTGCTTGTATGTGTGCGTACCGATTTTGCCACATTTCGTTAGACCGCCGACTGATTTTGAATTGCATGCTGACTACTCGGGACTCTCTTAACTGTTCAAATTTGATAATGCAGTGATAGACAAAAAAATGAAATTGATAAAACGAAGTTTACATGTCTAAAATGAAATTTATTTCATAGAAAAGCGGCCAATCTTTCGCACTAACTTTCGATCAAGCTTGATATTTCCATGTATTTTTCTTCTTTTTACAGGTGGCATGCTATCGGTTTTCTTAATGGGCTGCTATGACGAGAAGCATGACAAGTGGTTAACTGTTACTAAAGTAAAATATTTAATGAATTTTTTAAATGATAAATCAAATTAAATATCAATATGGGATATCACATCCTTCTGTACATCGTAGGTACACACAGGGCACGATGATGCTACCCTGACGATGCTGCAGGATCAGCTGGACATGGTGAAAATCGGGAAGGATGTGGAGAGACTACCGAGCTGGTTGCATGCTAAGAAACCCATGGTACCGGATTTCGTGGCGAAGGATCCTAAGGTAAGATCCAGTGAGTCGATCAATATGTGAAATATTTTATTAAAATATTTTTAAAAATTATTCATAAATATTTCATGCTGTGAACAATCAACCATTGTTGAAATTGCTCAACGTTATTAAGGCTTCTGAGTAATCAGTATGCGATTCAAAATCAGTCGGCGGCCTGGCGAAATGTGATGAAATCGGTAGCCACACTCGGCGCGCCGAAAGCGAGCACATGTACATGGGCTCGTGCTTGTATGTATATTTCAGCGCCTCGCCATGATAAATGGCTGAACTTATAGGCATGGAAAAGTGATGTTTGATGAAATTTGTGCTACACGCCATTTTATTATTTGCTTAATTGTGAAAATGTGACATGTCTTGTACTTATGAAAGTCCTAAAAATGGACAGAAACTATAATTATTCTGGAATTTTATACGTAAAAGCGTATATTTCATTCATTTCAATATTCAAACCGTGTGTTTCTGCTCGAAATTAGGCTCACTTTATCTGCCTTTTATGATCATTTACTGACTATTAAGGGAGAAAAGGACAATTTCTGCCCATTTTTACAGGTATTTTAAAAATTGTCCAAATAGTCTTTATTTATAAATGGCTTGCAGTATAAATTTACGTGTCATTCCTCGTTTCTGACATCGACGATCCCAACATGGCCGCCGCAATTACTTAGGAATCTTAAAATTGATATCTATAGTCGATTCTTACAATCATCTTAAGTACAATCATAAAAAGCCATAACCCAATCACAGAGCCGTATTAGCATTTTAAAACATTAAGTATTATTTAAGACAATCTTAAAATAAGAACAGACTATGAATATCGGGCTAAGATCTTTTTTAATTCCAAATAAATACATTTTATTTGTCTCTAGTTAAAAAACATAATGTGCTTCGAAATAACAATTAAAATTAAAAAAGGCTCCAATGATTAAATCAATAAAGTTGATACAATTGTACGTGTGTAATCAAAAATAATATATACAAAAATAATATCAATTACAAATGTTTCGACCTAAGATTAGGTTCTCTTCAGTGTAACAATAAAATTATCAGAGTCAAATTAATACTGTTGTAGGTGAATGCTGTCAGTGATCACCATTACATAATAGATAGATGTAGCCTTAAACCTTATATTTTTTAAGAAATTGATCAATCACAGGCGAATATGAGAAGAATAATCGATTATAATTGATCAATCTCTTAAAATTTAAAGCTTGTTACATTTATTATGTTTCGAGAGACTTAAACATCACATAATATTAAAACATCTTTATTTATTACATAGTGGGGGAAATCTTATTATTTCAACAATATATGAAGAACAGAATTTCAAAATGCATTTTCAAAAATTTCATTTTTTTAAATTAAAGATGGCATAGTGTTGAAAAACTCATATTATATGCTTGAGATGTTCAGAAAGCATTTGTTTTATCATTAATTTATATGCTGAAAAGCACAGACATTTCGAAGTACTTTAATAAAGGCATATAAAGCCAGTGAGAGTCGACACAGTTATACGTGTGTAATCAAAAATAATATATATGTATGTCAATCATCAATTACAGACATTTCGACCATAAGATTAGGTTCTCTTCAGTGTAATAATAAAATTATCGAAGTTGATACGTTGTAAAACAATAGGCGAATGTCAGTGAATTATTCTTGTTGTCCAAAATTAAGAACTTCAGCCTAATGGTGATCACTGATAGCATTCACCTATTGTTTTACAACGGTATTAATTTGACTCTGATAATTTTATTGTTATACTGAAGAGAACCTAATCTTAGGTCGAAACATTTGTAATTGATATATATATTATTTTTGATTACACACGTACAATTGTCATCATCAACTTTATTGATTTAATTTTTGGAGCCTTTTTTAATTTTAATTGTTATTTCGAAGCACATTATGTTTTTTAACTAGAGACAAATAAAATGTATTTATTTAACATTTTTAGCAATTGTTTAGCAATTTTGTTTAATATTTAAAATTCTACTGATTGGCATATTGTTAGTTTCCGTAATTTGTGCGCGGAGTTTCTTTATTCTCATTTTCTGAAAATTACAAATTTAAACAAAACGCATTTTGAAAGTCTGCGCCTCATATGTATAAGTAATCTTGCGTTGTACCTTTCGGTACTTAACTTCTAATTTTCTTTTTAAATTATTTTATGACTTGAAGTCGATGTTGAGATTTATATTTTTATGAAAACGATTTAATTAAAATCCTTTATATTGTAATTACTTTAAAAACTTAAAATATTTTCCATCTTTAAGTTTCTTTTTAAATATTATTCTCTTTCCGCTTCTTTCTATAATTAATGGACTAATTAATGATCTCTCGCTGTTCTCTCTTCATATACTCTTTCGAGCTCCTTTTTCAAATGCAAACTACGGAGCCCGTTATACTGCAGAGTTAATATACTTCGCCATTAATCTGTCGAAAGCACTAATCGTTATTTCGATGTCGGGGGGAATAAACAGAAGCAGCCGGTATGGGAGATAACGGGCGCCGAGTTTACGAACCAAGGGGTGCACACCGCGGACGGCATCAGCATCCGATTTCCGCGTGTCACACGGATTCGCCACGACAAGGACTGGTCGACAGCCACCACCCTGGACGAGTTGCGTGTTCTCTTCAAAAGGAAGCCCGAGTCTGTTGATTTCGGCCGTTTGCTCGATACGTTAACTGATGTAAAGACTTCTCTGAGGAAGAAATCGTTCGATCCCACAAAGAACACATCGCCGAAGAAGATCGAGAGTTCGAGAACGAACTTCTGGGACGAGCCATCGACGAGCTCTAGGGCTAAGAAGGAGCTACCGAAAGACATCAAGGAGGAATTCGAGGAAATACCGCTTCAGGAAAGAACTCTCAAAAGACGAAAAGGGAATGACTGCGACAAAGAATCGTTCGATAAAGTCCGGTTGGAAAAGAAGAAATTGAAACGTGAGATTAAGGGAAAAACAGAGAATTCCTCGTCAACAAAATTAAAAAAAGAAGAAAAATCGAATTCGAGGATGGAAGGATCTTTCGATTCCTTGTTTGATGCGAGTTCTATTGATTCGAACGGTGAAGTTAAAGTAAGTGATATCATTTCTTTCTTCGATAAAAATTATTTCTCGATTTCTGCAAAATTTTCTAAATTTCTTTCTTTTCAGAAAATATCGCGAATCTATTTAATAATCGCTCTGTTTAATTATCGCTTGTCATATTCTATTCTTCTATATGGTCTGTATAAAAATTTCCGAACTTTTTTTCTACAAATACGAAATGTTTTCTACTGTTGTAAGAGTATTTATTCATCAGATATAACTTTCTGTGATTATTTCTTTTTCAAAGTTAAAAATGAAACTGGAAGAACACATTTTACACGGAAATTGTAAGATATAGAAGATTTGAATTGAGGTCATTTTCTCCATTTTAAAAGAAGTTTGTTAAAAATGTTTCTAGAACTTGTACGATTGTTATAACTGTATTACTTCCATCAGATAGAATAATAAATAAATAAAAGTAAAAATCATATAAGAAATTAGATTTATAAACAAAATTCGAAAATGTTTTAGACAAATTATGTATTCCATGTTGATTGATTTGTCTTTATTCAATATTTATTAATTAATTTGTTTATTCTGTTGTCCTCAAATAACATTAATCATATCGCCCGATTAATGTTATTCAAGCGCTCGTTAAACGCGCTCTGTTTACTCTGTCTATGTTTGGCTTGAAAACCGTTTATTTATTTATATTATATAGCCAATTATTGCATGTGTGGAAACACTATTCGGCACGCCCGAAGGATTGAATTTCTTCATACATTCAAGGAAGATACCTTTTCGCTGTTAATTAAGCATCTCAATTTCTTAAATTCTTCTTGTGAAAAAATAAAAAAATGTCCATCTCGTTTTCTTGTAATCAGCCTACGTGTCCTATCAATGATCTTTCACAAACTTATTCTCGCAATTCGTTATCTCTATTGGCGATGTTAAATCGTGCCGGCGAAATTGGTCTCCTCTATTTGTCTTCTTAAATTATCTAATTGCCCCTTATCTAACTACTAATATTTACCGCAAGTTCGTCGTACATGTGTCCACTTTTAACTTTGTTGCATTTAACTGAGCTCAGCTTCGTGGTTATTTTATAGATTACTTTGCACATTAAATTTATTTATATAAAATTATTTATTGTATTATATAAATAATCATATATGTAAATTACTCTAAAGTTTTTCTAGTGAAATCTCACTCCAAGAAAGTGAAAATTCAATCACCCTTGAAAAAAAAGTGAAAATATTTCACTTCTTGATAATTTTTTCTTTTCACTCTTTTTAGAGTGAATTTTCAAAGGGGTGAAATCTTACTCCAAAAAGATAAAATTTAGAATGAAATATTTTCATTTTTTTCAAGGATGGTTGCATTTTTACTCTCTTTTGGTGAGATTTCACGAGAAATTTAGCGTGCAATTATTACATTTTATTATGTAATTACGTATTATTATATTAGATGGGAAAAAGTTCGTGGCATTTTT